TGTGAACAAAATTGTGTGTAAAAATTTACAAAAGGGAATTATATAAATATGTAATCCTGAAAAGAAAACAGTAAATAATGTTACATACATACATATCCATTTACCTAAATGCGAATATCCCTACATATACATTCAAACATTGCTATGGCATTCATAACTAAAATTTTCTATGTCCTAGATACTTAAAAATCTCTAAAAACAACTTTTAATTTTTATTTTTCTACCTTAAATGAATTATTAAAAAATTTTTATTTAAATGTTAAATTGACTCTAAATAATTATAATTTTTTTTTGTATTAGTATGTGTGTATAAGCTATAGTCACCCATTACTCCGCGACATTGTATATATACATATATACGTTATAAGTAAGTATAAAAGAACCTAGCGAAAAAAATTACGATATTACGCAAAATATGTTTTTATTTTATTATTTTTATTCTATACTTCTTTATTTATATAACATAAAAATTTAACAGGAAGTTAAACACTTACATACATACACACATAAGTATATAGCAAAATATTGTAAATAAACCTGGGCGTTTATATAATAAGTAGTACTTAAGTATAATTTTTTAAAGAAAAAAAAAATCCTTTGTATATGTGAAGAATTTCAGAATTTTTTGCTTTTACATAAGAATATAAAATATAAATATTATATACATTGATATATGTATATAAAGTTATACATATATGTATGTAAAAATTTTTCAAAAAAAAAAATTGTTCTCCTTTTTTCATTCTTCAATAAAAATATACTTATGTTTATACTTACACGTATAAGAACAAGTATATAACATATAAATAAGTAAGTATATAGAAAAGTACAAATATATTAAATAATAAAAATTGTTTATCAAAACAAATATTAAAAAATTCAGGAATTCCTGTATAAATAAGTAAATATGTGCTTATATATAATAAGTACATATGTAAGTATAAATAAAGGCACAATTTCAATATATTGAAAACCAATAGAAATTTTTTTAATAAATTTTTCTATATAAATAAGTACAAGTACTTGTAGAAATGATTACATGCATTACATTATATTAGAATGGATGGGTATGTATGTAATTTGTAAACAACAACTTGAATATTTTTTTACTAATTATAAGTATTACTATGTAAATTTTTTCATCTGTAAGTAGATTTTCTTATTTTCTTTAATTTTCAAAATCAACATATTGTTTTGGAAAACATCCTACATAATTTAATATAAAAACGGGAATTGGATAGGGTAATTGGAACCTAGCACTTTGTTTAGTTTGTTTCTTAAAATTATTTTTAAGAGAACGTAAGTACGTTACTACTTCATTATTAAATTACTTTTAAGAATTTTTATTGCATTTTTGACTTTAATTACAATTCTTAAAGTAATAATTCTAAATGTTTTACAGTAAATAACAAAAATGTGCTATGGTTCTTGTCATCATGTCAAGTAATTGACAAAGTTTTCCAGTTGTGTGATGTTAAATATTTAAAATTAAATTATTTAATTGAAATCACGGATGATTGCCACCAGTAATTTTCTATATTTTTCTTCGCATTGCACCTACTTCTATGACATTTTAATTTACAAGTTTGAAACAAAAATATCGTTGATGCAAATTTCATATCAAACAAGTTCAATAGACACTGATCGAGCGAGCATTTTAACAGTTTAAGAATGTGACTATGTAATAACTTTATGTCATGTAACATTTTATACGCCAAACATGCGCATTTTATATATAAAATTTAATCTGAAATGGCACTCAATAAAAAAAAAAAACAATTTCAATAGCTAAATTCAAAGACAGCTAAAAGCTTGTTTCAAAATTTTAGTATATAACGCCGGTTAAGTACTAAAAATTTTGAAACAAATGAATATTTATGAATTTTTTTTGGGTTATACCATTACTTAGTCAGTTTATTTTATTATTTACACTAATTTAGCAATTTAAGCAAGTTATAACAAAACTAGCACAAGGTTTATCTTACTCTTTTTTGCAGACAGAACAAAAATTTTTGAAGCTACAATAATCAACTGATATTTTATTGTTTAAAATTTTACATGAAATTACTTGGTGTGAAAAAAGTGTAAAAAAGCTGGTAAAAATTTATATTTATAGTAAAATTTTATATTCTTCATTTCATGTATTTAAGGCATGGCCCTAACTAAATATGACTCAATATATAAGATTTTACTCCACATTTTTTGTTATATAACAATCCAAATTTATTACATATTTTCTTTTTATCTCTCATGCTCTTATAAAAATAATTTAACGATTCCCAATATAACTCGTCATAGTTCAAGAAATGAAATTTACTTTTGCTAACTAATTCGAGCGTCTTATACAATTTAACACAAAAAAAAGAAAGAAAAAAAACTAAGAAATAAAATTCGTAAAAACCAAAAAAAAAAATGTAAAATCGTAAAAATGAAAGGGTATTGTGGTTGCTTCCAACTTCCATCTATATTTCAATTCTTAGTGTATGATTCATTATTGTCTCATGGGCCATAAGAAAAATCGCCTTAAGTATAAATATAAGTAGGGAAGTGTGTACATGAATTTTTTAAAATGAAGCAAGAATGGGGCAATAAAACAAGGAGAAAAAAAATAAAAACGAAAAAAAAAAACAATAATAACTAAGTATGTATAACGTATACAATAAAACACATTTTTCATTGGAAACATTGGCACTTGACAATGAACTTCTATATTATATACATATACAACATTTTAAATATACATTATATAAATGTACTATGTATATATAAAATTTTGCGATATTTAAGTATTTATATGTATTCCTTTAAGTAAATAATATAAAACATATAAAATATATACATTTATGTATATACATATACATTATGTACTTAAAATAAAATAAGTATACTTAATATTTTAAATTGCCTACAAATCTGTATACTTATGTACATAAATACATAGCGGCTATCAAACAAAACTAAAAACAAAACTATCTCATATGTACCTATGTAAATATAGTAAAGTGTTATACAATAGAAGGTCGAATCCTTTCCCTTGAATAATACAAATATTCTTTTTTGGATTTTTTCATGTGTACAATACATGACACTTACATACATACTTATATATTAAAATACAAATAAAGCCACTTATAAAAATCCTTAATAAAATTTATAAATTTTCTATTTTCAATGTTATTACTGAAATTAATTTACTTATTTTTTGTTCTTATTTTTTTTCAAAATTTAAAATACATATGTATGTAAACTCAATTTTCGTATTTTGGTAGTTTAAAATATTCTTGTAAATGAGTTGCCCTTTGTATACTCGTATTTATTTTTCTTTTTCATATTAATTGTAAAGTGATGAAAAATCATGAGAATTTTCTTAAACAATAGAGTATTACTAAAATCACTCTTAATTAATTAATTTTTATTTAATAAAATTGATTACACACCATTATTACTCGTATTAACTATTGAACTTAAATATTGAAATTTTATTTTGTAAATTTACATAAATAAATATAAATTTATAAAGTAAATAAGATTGTCTTAAAGGACAAAAATAAATGTTTGATAAAAATCAATAATAAACGAAAGTTAATAATATTTTACGAATAACTAAAAAATTTCAGTATTTGTATTAAATAATTTAAGCACGTGCTTTTAGTTTTTTTCAAAAAGAAATTAAATTACTTAATAAATAAATAGCTATAGGCAAAATTAATAACTTTTCTCATAAAATTCCTATATAAAAATAATAAAGAAAACCGATTATGTAATAATATTTTTTTATCGATCTTTCTTCTTTCAAAAGAACAAACTAAAAAACCAAAAATATTCTCCTTTTTTCGTTTTATATAGTAGCTACCAACTTACATACAAATTTTTCTTTATATTATGTATATTATAACCATAAAATAAATCTATAGAATCACGATACTAAAAATTTTATATAGATACTTTATTATTTACTAGAAATATATTTTTGTTTATATGCATATTATGACGGGATGATGTCGTATAGTCTACATACACTTATTATGTATATTATTATTACTTATTATTATTTAAAATATTTTATATAATCTAAACAATAATATACGTATGTATGCATACTTATAGTAAAATATAAATAATAAATAAATAAAAAAGAAAAATTGTTTGCCAAAATTAAAATATGGAAATATAAGTAGGTAGATAGACTTATTCTAGTATAATATAATTAATAATTCAAAATTTTAAACATTTTAAAATATTATTTTGAAAAAAATTATTTTCAAATTTGAACCATTTTGTTAAAAAAATTCATGGAAAGAGAGCTTTAAATGTATGAATCTATCCTACACAACCGGAGGTATTTATTTTAAATAAACTAAGATTTTTTATACTTAATTATTTTTATTTGTTATATGGTTAGAATTAATCTTATAGAGGACCTTATAAATTTTGAATTTATGTTACTAACTAATTATTTTTTATATTTTGTGTATACACTACAATTTGTACATGAAAACTACATAAGTAAAATAATTATTTTACACAATACATATTCAGTAATAGAATACTTAGTGTTTTTGTGTTTGATGTAAAATGTGGTTAACTATATTATATTCATATTATTATTTATATAACTATTTTCGTGTTGACTATAAATTTTATTTTTAACCTCACGTTTTCAATTGATTATTTTTTTAATATTTTTGTTATTTTTACTCTATACTTCATCTTATATGATATAATTCACGCCTGTATTTAATGAATGTACGTATATATATATACATATATATTTCATGTTTTAAAAATGCATACTTAATATACACTAGTAAATAGACATCTATATAATATATTTTAAATACCTAACTAAGTACGAGTATATAAATTTTTTTCAGTGTTTTTAATATGTCCTTGAATATTTAGATGAAAATTTCCAAATATACTTAATTATTATAAAAAAAAATGTTATAAATTTTTGTATTTAAATTGTATTCAATGTATTATATATAAAACCTACTTACCTTATTATATATAGAATTTCTTGATGTACGTAATAAACGATAACTAAGTTGATATAACTCGGTTCTACCAGTAGTTATATATACGTAGTTGTAAATATTATTATATATAACAGAATTATATATTTAATACATACATAAATATATATTTATATGTATATAAAATTGGTACATATATTGATTTTAATAATTTAATAATAATGTTAGTATATTGTGCTTCTAGTATGTTTTGGTTTCTTTCACTTTACAATTTCGTTTTTTTTTTATGTACACACTTATTTATATTTATTTTTATTTAAATAAAAAACATAATATTTATATAGGTAAGTTACCCTAAAACATGTTGTATTTGTTTTTGTCTTAATAATATAATATTAAATTAAAATGAAAGATAAAAAAAGAAATTAAGAGTAGGATTTTAATATTTTCACTTAAATTTTTGTTTTTGTAAATAATTTTGTGCCGGGTTTAAGATTCTTATATGTATGGTACACTGGATGGTAATTAGCACCTTTATATACTTAATTATTATAATCTTAAAAAAAGAATTCTTAATATCTTGGAACTAAATCTGCGATTATAATGTTAAAATATGTTAAAATATTAAAATATAAAAAAAACTCTGCGTTTTTGTTAACACATACAAGTAAATTTTAAATTAATAAAAAAATGATTAAATCAATTTAAAAAAACAAATTAACAATTTCATTATTCTACAGCTTTTTTTTTTTACTATTAATAAGTTGGTATAGTAGGTAGATAATTAGCCTATTTTATAATTATTACTTTAATGGTATTTCTTGTTAAATTGGCAGAAAATTTCTTTTCTTTTTTGAACATTTAAAATCAGCTGCTACAATTTTTTTTTCGTTTTTTTTATTTCTTTTTTTTTCTCTTTATTAAAATCAATTCTTTTCTATTTTTATTTTTTTCTTCTCTTTTTTTTTAGGGTTTGGTACAATTTTATTTTCTTCTTTTTCCTTTTACTTCTATGAAATTCTCAATTAATGTTTTATTTAATATTCTTTTTTATAAATTTCTATTCAATTTTGACTATTTTAAATCAAAATTTTCTATTATTTTTACGTAAAAACTTTCATTCAAACGTAAAATTAGAAAAAAAAATGCCTATATTAATTGTTGTATTTTTCTTTTGAATGAAGTGAATTTACTTTCTTTCTTTTATTATTTGAAATTTTATATAGTTTTTCTATTTAATTTATTTTTTAACTGCACTGAATCACAGCTGAAATTAAATTAAATTTTTTTCTTTTAAACTTTTTATATCCACGACGACGACTGAATTAAAAATTGTAAAAAAAAAGAGCAATGTTTTTTTTATTTTACTTTTTTGTTCTTCTTTTTCTCTACAAAATGAGTTATTGAACACTGGGCTAAACTGAACCTAGCACAACAAAATTATCCAAATTTTATGCTGTGCTTTTTTCAGATACAAAATGATATTTGGTTTGCCTGTTGTTGGCTAGGTATTTTTTCTACCTAACCATCAAAAAAAAATGAATCGATTATATTGAAATGTCTAAAATAATCGATTTATTATGTCAGAATTTATTTGCAAAATGAGTTATACATGTACGCAAATCTTATTTGCGTTCTGTTTTTATTATAAACCATTACGGAAACGTTTTTGACTTTTGAAAATATTTTAAAATATTATATACATTTTGGAATATCTATTATGTTAAAAAAAAGTTCCATTTACTACAAACACAAAAAAGAAACAAAAAACAATAAAACTGAAATATAAATAAAATCACAAATAATATTTGACATATTGTTTCAAAACCAATTAGCATATTTATGTATAATTGAATCGTTATTTTTAATATGGCTAATATGGCAGCATCAAGTGTACTTGACCAATATTTTATGTCATTTACATATACAGGCTGAAGCCGACTTCAAGAGGATTGCCAGCTCATACAAACACAACATGACTTAGAATTTTCGAATGAAGTTGATGTCATAAAATTATTAAAAATAATGCTTATCAACTAATGTCAAAATTAAGTCGATTTCAATCATCAAGGCAAATAATTAAAAAAATAGATTTTGCATTAACAGCTATCAAAAAATTAACGCCAACGGCAAAGGCAAAACTTAAAATTTATACAAAAATTTTTTTTACGTGAACGACCTCTATTTAATTTGCAATTTAAAAAATTACAGATAACAAAGTTGACTGGTTTAAATAATGTTTAATGGTTTCTTTCCAGAAATGTTTACTGGTATTTTTTAAACAATGACAAAAAAATTTTATAATAAATAAAAATTGGGATTCGAGATACTATTTATGTCATGCACATTTAATTTAAGTCAAGTAAATTTCTGAGAGTTTTATCCGAGAAAATCCGAAATGCAAAGTAATGTGCTTATCGAACTTATTTTAAATTTAAATTGTCAATATAATTTTTGACATTCGTATATGATTTTAGAGTTTGACAATTTATTTTGAAACTTATCAACTTTATTACAATTTATGTACAAAAAACCAAAAAAGGTCAAAAAAAAAAATTTACAACAGAAAAACATGTACGGAACTGCCACCTTATTGCACTGCATTTAGAATGTAAAAAAAGCGAATTTTTTTCGCGGCATTAAAAACGATTTTTAAACAGTATAAAATTGTATGCATGATGCTTTTACTAACCTAAGTTAAAAAGAGAACAAGAGTTTGCCCGAATTGTCAGAATTCATATAGAATACACATATGTAAATATGATCGCCAAGAATCAAGCAAAATGACCGTTGGCGGTAAAATAGCTTAAACCCTTATTTTACCCCTGCCGTTTTTTTGACATTATCTATATGTGTAACGTTAAATCCAAAATACTGCACTGTCGTTCTGGGAAAACAATCTAACTTTTCCGCCGTTGGCATTCACCGCTTTGATGATTTATTTAGAATTTAGAATATTTTGGCTAAGTTCTCACTTCCAGGCAATAGCGCTTTTAACACATAAAATTGAAGTTTTATGAAGAAAACCTGTGAATTATTGGTATAGATTTGATCAAACTTTTTATGGAAAGAAAACTAACCTTACCGGATATTTGAAGAGTATCAAGATTTAAAATTTTCTTACAAAATCTATCTGTATAAAACGCAAAAAAATATTCTCCATTTAATTTCTCGCAAAAAAAAAATTATGATTTAAAAAAAAAAAACCAAACGAAAAAATTGAAAAAACCAAAAATTTTGATTTTGGCTTAGACAAAAAAACCACTTTTGAATCAATTGCCATTCAGTTCAGTTGTTTAAAATATAAAAGTTCAATAATGTTGTCTAGATAGTTTTATTCATATAAAATTTTATATTTTGATATTATGCTCTAATACAATATTTTTTTGCGGCAACGCTGTATTTTATATTTTCGATATTTATATCGATATTAATTTGAATATAAATTGACTCAACCCTGCATGATTGACTCATTTTCCTTTCAAAAAAGCAGAAATAAAGTTGTAAAAATGTTACTGTAATATAAAAATTGTGCAAAATTTATAAAAAAGGACACGTTCCGTGCCCAAAAGCTCACAAGAAAGGATTTTTTAACCATGTAAGTAGAAAATTATAAATCGAATATTTTTTGTTGAGATTTCCAAGAATTTTTGATGACATAAACAAAAACGTCACACATTAACGCAACATGGCTAATTATGGTGCTATTAATAAACCACTCCTATAATATTTCAATAGAATTATTGTGAAATAGGAAAAGTTGTTGTACTGGTACTGTAAAATACCAAATATGTATTTTCATTTCTTATTTTTCTTTGTTATAATAACTTAACCTATAAACCCAATTACAAGTTATGTTGATTAATTAAAAATTTTTAAAGTTAAAAAATTTCATGTTGGCACAAACAAAAACATTTTAATTTTTACATTTTGATAAAAACAAAAGCAGTCATGTACATATCTACATATATGTACTTATGTATGTACATTAATTGCATACATATATTATCACTTTAATCAAATTGACTGACCAAATTTGTGCAAACTCATTAGTATATTGATTTATGGGTCAAATTTTAAACCTTTAATTATGTATGTGCAAAATATATTCACATTACACATGTACTAATATAAATCATTACATATATGTATTCATTTATAGAAAACAAATATTTATATATATATGAACATTATACATTGGAAACGCTCCAATACTAAATAAAACTGAGTACTACATATATTATATTACGTACATATGTATGTATGTATATATCTAAGAACATATGTTCGTAAAACGTATATTTGTATGTAATTACAATAAAATTTAGTTAAGAGATTTTAATAAAGTAAAATTAATTTAGATTTTAATAAAGTACTATATATGTATATGTATTTGTGTCTTAAAATCAAAATAGATCTTTGTTTACGGATATTATACTGATAAAGCAGGTTATAAAGCTATCAAATTTTAAAGACTCACTGTTATAGTAATCGTCTAGACATCAAATTATTTCGTGAAAATTATAAAAAAAAATTTAGCATGGAAGGGTGACTTTCGAGGGATCATGATCACAGATTGCTTAATTTAGGAAATTTAAAAAGTTTCAATTTCGTAATAAAATATTTTATACTAGGTACCTATTTTATTTAAGGTTATTAGCCCGAAATCAGTCATAAAACACTTGTTTCAATATAGCAATAATTATTAACAAATATGTACATACATATGTATAGGTATGTATAGCAATAACAATTGCTACCTACTTACATTCACTCTTACATTCTTGCCCTCTTTACTATTTACTTTATATTTTACATACATAGCATAATGTACAATTATTATTATATATATTATAAAATCATTCTTTAAACAATTATTTTATTTTACTTTATTGGAAAAGGTTCAAAAATATGGAATCGCCAAAGCCATTCAAAATGGTTTCTCAAAACAGCATTTTATTAAGTTATAACAACAATATCCAAATTACAAATGGAAACACTCCAATTGCCTCAAGATTTATATTGGGGGACGAAGACCGAGCCCCTGTCGCCGGCCAACGACGACCAATTATTTCCATCACTATTTAGTCCAAAAATTGAAAGTGATGATGCAGAAGGTATACCTATAATTAAGATAAATTTTTTAAATTTGATATTCTTAAATAAAAGCTAATTTATTGTAGATGTAGAAGTTGATGCTCAAACCGACGCTTTAATAGCCTCTGTTTTAATGGAGGACGAAATTTTACTTCACTTAGAAATATGTGATGATGATGAAAGCGGTAAGTTTGAATATTAAAAACATAATGAACATACTTCTACAGTATGTAGTGTCTCATATTATTAAGGAATAGTTGAAGAATGTTGAATTTAATTTAAAAATGTAGTTCATTAGTATGTTTTAAAATATGTTGTTTTCTAATGGAGTTAAAATTTTTGATTTAAATCATCTTCATTCTTGCTGCCCATGTTTTAAAATATAATAATTATTAAATTATTATGTAAAATAGGGTCGATGATACCATTTTCATCTATATAAGCTCTTAAAAATTAATAGAAAACTAAAAGAAGAAAAACTCGTTTTTCACTTTTGAGTAGCTTAGGTGAATTTTTGCTGCTTTGAAGATTTTTTGAAAGTGAAATGAAATATTAGAATTATTGTCAAAAAAAACTAAAAAATTAAAATACAGCTTAGTGTGTATCCAAATTCCTTTAATGTTGATTTCAATTACACGAGGTTCCGAATTGTTTCCATAATAACAATATTTTAAATTTTTGTACTTTAACTATACAATGTTGTTAATTTCAATTTGGGTTGCTTTCCTTTTTTAATTTCGTATTAAACTTCTACGTGCCTGTATTTACAATTTTAAATAAACAATTAATTTAAAAATTTCAATAGGAATTAAAAGAAATGCCATATAGAATAGCTTGGGTCGCGTCTAAGAAATGTTTGCAATTTTATATAATGTACATAATAAATTAACAAACATTTCTAAATCAAATAAAAATTAAATAAAAATTATTAATCAATAATTAAGCTCTTTTCAATATAGAAAATTGCTGAAGTACAAAATTTTTTTTATCATTACAGTGATATTTTTTCAAAAAATTTAACCAAATATTCCAACATGTGCTTTTTTTATGTTAGTTTTTTCTAATATAAGTATTTTTGTTATATTTATCTTAATTATGACGTCTGTCAACTTACGGCTGTATTTACTAATCTTATCTACTTGAAATCAAGATAAATAAATATGGAAAATAATTTTATGCAAACAAATTTCGTATGTAATTTTTTAAATTATAAATTTAAAACATTTTAATTATGGTTAGTTTTAAATTTTAAGTAGGTTTATAAATGGAACGGTAGTCAAATGTAGTAATTTCAGAAATTTCTGGTTTTTCTTTATTCGTTTATTAAAATAAACCGATATTTAAAATCAAAACTAATGATTTATTTTCAGTAAAATTTTATAAGTCCACAAAAAAAATGCAAATTCATTGCTAACTTATTTCAAACGGTTAAATGTTATGAGTTTTTCGACACAAGTATATTTTTAATATGCAAGTCATTCATCATAACATAAATAAGAATAGCTTTAATCTTGATACTTTTTTTTATATATTTTATTTCCTTGTGACTTTTTAATTCTAACAATAACTATTTTTGATTTATTATTAAAAAATAATGCAATTTGCAATTCCTAACTACAAACTTTCAAACAATATGATTGTAAATGTTAGTAGGCAAAATTAATTTCAAATAAAAGGTGTTGCATTATTTTAATGTTATATATTTCGTTCCGTTGGCGTTCAATAAGAAACCACTTCAATACCAAAAGCAATTTTAACAATGGCCGTTATTCTTGGTAAATCTGTTCTGCAAATTTTACTTCATTTTATATAATACAAATATATGTAATTTAATATTTAGTTATACATTTTTCTCATTATTTATCTTTCTACTAATAATTACTTTGCAATTAAAATAAAGTTTCTACATTAGCAGATCAGTGAAACTCTCTTCAATATGTATAACTTAATTAAATAATAAGAGTTAGAAAAGTGTTATATTTAAACAAAAAAAGATAAAATAAATTAATTCTATTTTTTTTTGTAAATTTTTTAGTTCATTTGTAAAATTTAACAATGAATTTAATTTGAAAATTTCATCATTAATAAAATTTATCACACTCTAATAATATAATTTTCTTAATAATCAAATCTATTTTGAAAATACATTTTAAATTATTTTGTAATAAGCTTTCGTTCCGAAATTTTTGATTTACTTGGTTCTTATGTTATTTTTAATATAAATAAGAAACTGTTTACTTCTCACTTGATTTATTCTATTTAAAAAATTTTTTCAAATCTTATGCTTTACAAAGTAATCAAGTGGTATATGAAAAATTGTATAAAAATAAAAAACCATTCTCCCATTATACATATGTGTATATTTAATGAACTCAACTAAAATTTTAGGAAAAAATTAATACAAAGTTTTATTTAAATGTATAATTAAAAATATCTTGAGATAGTTACTGTTAAAAACACAACTTTGGGTATGATTACATTTAAGAATTGCTGTTCTGCAATAAATATGTTCAAAAATAAAAAGTTAAAAATTAAGTTTTTTTTGGTATAACGAAAGACATGTTATGCACATTATTAGCGACAATAAATACATATTTTTAATTATTAATAATATAAATAACACTCGTTGAACAATTCATAAATACTAATCGTAAGTAAATATTGATCTAAAATAGCTTATTCCAAGTATAATTCAGCTTAAAAGTATCATGAATTTTGCTATCTTTTTCGTTACATATTTCGATTTCTTCTAGTGGATATATAAAAATTTTGAAGTTTCCCCTCTATCTACGCTTACAGTTAACATGCATACAGTATTATTTATCGCATTCTTTTGACCTGACCGAAATCTATGTACATGTTATATATTTTAAACACCCCTGCCAATAATAAATGCATATTGAATCAATCAATTATTTTCTAACAATAATTAATCTAATCAATATTTTGTTTTTATTTTTTTATTAATGTTATTGTTTATATACTGACATTAAAGTGTTATTATAGATTATTTAAAATTATATTCGAATAATATTTTTCTTTTCTGTTGATTATTTTTGTTTTCTTTTATACAATATTTTGAAAAAAAAAATTAAGAAATCAAAATATTTGCTACAATGTACTAATGAACCATAAAATTAAATATTTGCTATGTTAGAATTTCTCGAAATGACTTCTACAGAATATATTACAAAAAAAAAAAAACGACAGCAGTATACAAAATAATTTTAGTTGCTATTTAATTTGCTGCTTTTACTTGAAGAATCCTCAATTACACATAAAACTAAAACAAATAGGTTAATTCATGATAAGAAATGTAAAGAAAAAAAATACGAATGACAAACTGAGATAAAATAATGAAATCTTATTAAAACAGTGTCTTTTAACAATTTAAAAAAATTTCATTTTTCATTTATTTTGATGCATATGCCTGCTTAATGCACATGCATTTTCTTTATAGTAGAAAAATAGTTGAAAATCTTCAAACTCGCTCAACTTTATATTTACTAGGGGGTAATACCATAGCAAACACTGTTTTCTGCAACTATAGCAGTAATTATTGAGTATTATTAAATACGAAACATATTTTATATTACTCTTATTACAATAAGTTGCTGGCCACAAAACTAAGCAATATTGTAAAGTTTAATGTGTGTAATTAAAATATTACGAATATTTTTAACTCTTATTTATAGTTATCTTAGCAAGAGATTCTAAAGTACATAACATATTCGCCATTTTTATAATAAACTTAAAAAAAATTTCATTTTGCATTGAATTACATTTATATTTTTGAATATTTAAATATTTAATATAATCAAGATACAACACGGCTTTGTATTTGCGTGTATAGCAAAAAATTTTTAAATATAAAAAATTTGTTTTAAAATAATAATTTATGCCGCGATCAAAAAAGAATTTAGCCTTAAAGGCATTTTAAACTAGTTTTTACTCTTTTTTTTGCCTTTTCTTGTTTAAAAGTGATAATTGGTTGGAATTGTAAAAAAATTGTTAACATGTAAATATGGAATAGTATTAAATAAAATATTAATTTCTATAATATAGGTATTAAAAAATTTTGTTATTTAATTATTATTTATTTTTGTAATTATTTGTTTTTATTCCATACGTCCACTTTGCATTACAAAATTGATTAAAATTACCTATTGAGTGCCACTGAAAGGAAATAATAATAAAAAAATTAGGAACACAATATGCACACCGCATAATGCCCATATATGCATTTAATTATCAAAAAAAAAAATATTTTTAATATGAAATCGAAAAGGAAACTTTCAGAATAGAAAATTAATTTAAATATCAAATCATAGTATTTTGATTAACGATTTTCAATTATTTTAATTTGCAAATTCAATTAATTTTCGTTGATGCGAAATGATTTTTTTATACGGTATCCAAGTTTTCCGAAACCTTATTTATTTTTGGTTCTTATTTGAATATTTTGAATAAATTTATTTATGTTTTTCCAATTAGTTATTATTTTGCAATGCTCTTACAAATTAGATTTTAGTTTTCCGAATTGAGTGGGCGAGGAATGCTAAAATTAAAAAGCAAAGCTTATAAAACCACAATTTTTTATAAAATAATCAATTTGATTGTTATACAAATTTTATTATATTTCCAACAAATTTTCTCAACTTCTCCGATTTCTCAACTTCTCAAATAAAAATTTAAATAAAGTACGGGTTTCGGCTTTTACAAATTTTTCAAATTTCGAAACTAACAATTTTATATACATGGAAATACTTTAATACTGCAATGTGTTTTCACTGGCAATTGATGTAATCCATACATAATTATATCTAAAATCATTTGTAGCTGAATTAAAATATTATTCTTGGTTTATAATTTTATAGTTATTGAAATTGAAATTATTGATTAATTTTGTTCATACTCGTATATTTGGATTTGTTCATGTTTTCATATATGTAATAATATTGTTACATCACGGCTTTAGTAATGAAAAGGTAACGTAACAAAAAAAAACTAAAAGTTCATGATTTGACATTTTGCTGTTCGAACAAATACATTAAATACAAAAAAGAACAAAAAAAAATATTTATTTTAAATTATTTAAATTGTCTACATGTGTGTTGGTCATTTCTACTGATTACTTAATAATATATTGAAACAACTTCCCGGTGAAACAAATACAGATTGTCTT